ATATATATATTTGGGAGCTCTGGTGGTGTAGTGCCGAAGGCATTTGACTGTTAACCAGAAAGCTGGTGTGTGTGTGTGTGTGTGTGTGTGTATACACACACACACACACACATACACCCACATTTGATTTGAGTTTCTAATAACTACTATGGATGGAATTAGGAAAAATTGAAATTTATATCTTCCTTGGAATGATATAAAAGATTAATGAAATGAGAGATTAAAAAATAAAAAAAAAATTTAAAAAGTAAGTAGATAGATCAAGTATTTCGAAAGTGTTGCAATGCTCATGGAAATTTAATGAAAATTGCTCTGAAGGGCCAAGATATTTTTTCAAGAGGTGATTGAAGAGGTGATCTACATAGAAACATGGTATATTTTGGAACTGATTTTTCATCAATCCATAATTAAAATTTAGAGACATGCTCTCCTTAATTTAAAAACTATTTTAGCTTTTCAGAGATTCTTCTCCTTTTGATATTTTTTTGAGAGATTAGAATTATACTAGTATATTATATTATCTAAAGGTTAAGTACTCCAAAATTGGGCTTTTACTCTAATTGAGATGGGAAGTCATTGGAAAGTTTTGAGCAGAGAAGTGAAGTGATTTAATTTAGGTAACTTCTTTTGCTGTGTTCAAGATTGAGGGCAGTCCAGACTGAAACAGGGAGACTAGTAAAGAGTATATTGAAACCAGGAGAAAGATGATGGTAATTTCTACCAAGGTGTTAACAGTGGGCATGGAGAGATGTGGATGAATTCTGAATATATATTAAAGACAGAATCATTACTATATGCTTAAAGTTTGGTTATAAGATATGAAGAGAAAAAAAAAGATGAGTGGGGGTGTCCAGGATAACCTCCAAGTTTTTGGTGTAAGAAACTGAAAGAATGGAAATACTATTTAATGAGATGGGGAGCACTGGAAAAGAAACAAGTCAAAGCAAAACATGAGGACTAGAAAAGAACAATAGATAAGTAACTCAGTTTTAAGCCTGTCAGGTTGGAATTGCCTTCTCCACTTCTAAGTGGAGATGTAGACAGTTCTAGAAATTAATCAGAGGAGAGATCTTAGCTGAGAATAGAAACTGGGTAGTCCAACAAAGGACAGAACATGTTCAAATCTCTAACATTTGATGAGTTCACCAGGAAAATGAGCCAAGAGCACTCCAACATTTAGAAGACCAGGAGCTAAGTTAAGGAGATGAAGAAGAACCAACAAAGGAAACAAAGTAGATTTCAGAGGGAAAAAGAGAGGAAAAAAACTAGGGGAGTGTGTTGTTGTTAGGTGCCGTCGAGTCATTTCCGACTCACAGTGACCCCATGCACAGCAGAACGAAACACTGCCCCATCCTGCGCCAGTTCCACGATCCCTGCTATACTTGAGCCCATCATCTCAGCCACCATGTCAATCCATCTCCTTGAAGGCCTCCCCCTCTTTCATCGACCCTCCACCTTACCAAACATGACATCCTTCTCCAGGGAATGGTCCCTTCTGATAACATGACCAAAATAGGTAAGACAAAGTCTGGTCATTCTTGCTTCCAAGGGTGCCCTTCCTCCAGGACAGATCTGTTAGTTCTTTTAGCAGACCATGGTACTTTCAGGATTCTTCACCAGGACCACAACTCAAAAGCATCAACTCTTTTTCAGTCTTTCTTATTCATTGTCCAGCTCTCACATGCATACAAGGTGATTGGAAATATCATGGCTTGTGTCAAGCGCACCTTAGTTCTCAAGGAGACATCCTTGCTCCTCAGCACTTGAAACAGTTCCTTCATGGTTGACCTTCCCAATGCTACATGTTGTCTAATGTCCTGACTGTTGCTTCCGTTGGCATCGATTGTAGAACCAAGCAACATGAATTCTTGGACAACCTCAATCTTCTCTCCATTTATTGAGATGCTGCTCATTGGTCCAGTTGTGAGGATTTTTGTTTTCTTTATATTGAGACGTAATCCATACTGCAGACTGTATTCTTCAACCTTCATCAGTA